TTGTTAAACAAAAGAGCGCTGAAACAGCTAGCTCGAAATGGCACGAGATTGAAATGGTGTGTTTGAGCATTAAATATTATCGTGATACATTAAAGTTATTTAACACCTACGTTGCTTACTTGTTGTGACCAAGGAGAACGAACCAGCGTTGATATTCGGCTTAACACTGAACCTTTTCTTCTACGATGATGAGTAGAGACATTACGCGATGACGATTTCACAACAGACCCGCCTTTTGTAAGGAGAGAAGTTTATCGGTTTATTTTATAATATATTTCGGGGTTATTCCCACCTAAACTTATACCCACCTTGTAATAAAATTGTCTTAATCCGTCTATGATAAAACTCCGGCGAGAAAGCATTGATCTCTCTCAAAAAAGGTTTTTTTGAACACCGAAACTGCCTTTCGCCAAACATTTCTTACTAGCGGGCCGCAATTTTTACCCCGACGGTCGATCCCAGAAATCTCTCCGCAAACGCAAGGTTCCGGTTACTGGAAACTCATTCATTTGATCGCCATCCTGGCCAAAACAAAGTTCTCAAAAGTTATCTATTAAGTCTTTGAATATATCCACTACCGACCAAGATAAAAGAAAAGAAACACGTTGAAGGGTTTGAGATTCTAAATGAAAAAAAATTGGGGTCTTGATAGCAATAACATTTCTTTGGTAATTTTTATAGTGCTGTTAGTTAATGTTGATAATATAACTGAAGATATATCTCTAGTTACCAGATCATGTTCCAGTGTTGGCAAGAAGATCCAAACCTTCGACCAACATTCTCCAATCTTGCAGACACCCTCAAAAAGTTGATACAAAACCAGACGGTAAGTTTGTTATCTAATAATACTATAACCTTCTATCTCTAGTTTATTGTATTGGAGTGCTTTAAGATAAAAAAGAAAAAGATGCGTATTACATGCTTTCCTTTGTCAGTTATATGTCAAATGCCGTTCCGCTCCTTAAAGAAACACATTTTGTCAGCAATATCATCGACATTTGTGTCATTATCGGAATATTTCATCCAAATTTTTTGTTTGTCTTGCAGACTTACGTCAATATGGAAGAATACGACAACAATTTGTACGCAAATATTGACGACCTCTTATAGTAACTAACGTAAATTGCAGTAAGGGAAAGATAGTTTAATGGAATCCTTTGAACAAAGCACGTAAGAAAATCAGTGCGATGTTTTTGCTCTTTCTGTTTTGTTCCATGACACAATGTAGTTTTGGTGTTGAAACGTTAAAGTTTCGTCTGTCGTTTCCCACAAGTATTCACAACTAGATAGGGTCAAATCAGGGTTTATCCTTCGGTGCATTGTCTGTCTCATAGCTGTGAATTGCGACCTAGAAGAAACAGTGTACTTTGTTGACACTGACAGCGCCAGCACCAATAGCTGC